AAGTATTTTACAGAGGTGTTAATGAATCCACTAGAAGTGGATTTATTCATTAAAACGCGCAACAATGTTTCTTAGCTTCTCTGAACTCGCAGTCGTAACCGCATTGGAGCGAGATATGTACACGCGTCATTCATGAAGTGTGTAAAGTCATCAGTCTAGCAATCTAATTTATAATTTTCCTAGTTTTCCTAGTTTCCTACAACCTTGGTTCAGCGATCATTAGGCTTGCTCGCTTTTGGTTGAAATAGCATTTTTTAATGTGTCAGCTTTGCCAAGCGACATGTCATCTTGCAATCGCAAAATGTGAACGAAGTCAGAGAGAAATGTCATGGAAATAATTTGCCAACTGGTATGTGCGAAATGCGGAAATAAACTGTTTTATGTTGCACAAATAGGTTCTTTTTCACCGTGTTAACACTAAACCTCTCTCAGAGTTGTTGTATAGTACTCTTCATTCTCTCAAGTCATACAAATTCAAACTATCGGACTATCATGTTACTGAGTACAGGCCTTGACTTGCTACTAGGAATTCTCAGTGTTGCGTGAATGCCTTCTCCCAGCGATTGCAACTTGAATAATGTGTTCACAATTCCACCCAAATTTATGTCAAATGTCCGTTTATTTACATCATGTCTATATATACTCTTCGATTGCAGCTTAGAATCGCTTTTCCCTTTTCAGTTTGCTTCCTCAAGTTTGCAATTAGCATTTCACTGCCTTAGCGCAAAGTATAGAATTGAATCCGTGAACTTGTCGAGGGATGACATTGCATCTGCTGAGGTACCCATGTTTTTCAGTCAGAAGCAAACGGTAAAGGTAAAGAAGGAAGTAGAAAGGGCCAACTAGTAAAGATTTTCGATCGATGTTACTCTGCATCTCAAATCAACGAGAATGCAAGCGAAGTTAAAAATTGTAAAATTATTATTATCAATTGCAATCTTTATCGAGAAGGAAGTAACATCTTCGCTTTGCACCACTTTGCAAGATTCTATATATGTTTTTAAAGAAACAGCTCCTGTGAGTAACTCCCTGCTCGATTTACATATTAAACTACGGATCGCTTTGCAAACATTCCAAGCGGCATAAGGAAATAAAGCAGTAAAATGTCTGTCCTTACCTGCAGTCCACGCGCCCAAGAGCGCGCTCTCCTCAATTTTAGAAGGATAAAGTTAGCTCTCGTTGCTTAAACCATTGAATGGGTGAATGGAGTCTTCACGACTTGGAGTTCATAACTAATTTAAAGATTTTTGCACGGACACATGGCGTTTGTGGTGGTACTTAATGCTCTATTGTCTTAATTCCGAGAAAATTGTTTTGACGGTGATGGTTCATCTTTCTTAGAAAGGCTAGTAA